TTAAACATTAACACACACACACACACACACACACACACACACACACACACACACACACACACACACACACACACACACACACACACACACACACACGCACACACACACACACACACACACACACACACACACACACACACACACACACACACACACACACACACTTTATTTCTGGTCTCTTGCTGCCACCTGCTGGTTGTTCTACAGAGATATATATTCAGTTGACAATATATATTTTATTTAGACATTTAGCAACAATTTTAAGATAGAAATACGAATAAATAACTGAATATCCACTCGGGGATTAATATACATTGATTATAATCTAAATCTTAATAATGTATACAATGGTGTTTTGAAACAACATCATAGAGTTTGTAATTGTAACTTTTGATTTGGTGTTAAACTAACATGCATGTTTAATAAACTTTAGTTTTCTTTTAGTAACCAGTGTTTTATTCTCACTGATGCTTGACTACTATATAATGCTGAATGATATTGTGTGAACTGTGAATACATCAGCTTGTGTTCTTCACCATACTCTTATTTTGTGTGTACCTCAAATGATAACTCAACCTTTAAAAATAAAAACGTCATGTATTTGTTACAAACAGAAACGAAGGAAATCCTGAATTATAAATCGTCTATGTTTTAAAAAAAGTGGCCGTTTTTAGATCTCCATGGTAACCAAAGGCTCCACAAACAGTGAATTAAGTCTGTTTTTGACTCTAGGTGGCGCTGTGGTCTGGAAAAAAGGATTCACTGACAACAGACTGACTTCACTCAGTGTTTTAATCATAACTGCACTAAATGCATTTGGGCGCCACTAGTTTGTCACCATAGACTGCACTAAATGCGCAATAAACGGGAGATGGGGACCCCCCCGATTATTGACAGGTGTTTCGCACACTGATTTTAACCATGTTTCACAAACAGTTTGTATATTTATTCCTCTAAAAGCTGGAACTAAAATATCGATTACAAACCTTGAGATGGGAATAAGTAGAAAGTACGACACGAAGAGCAGAACGTGAAACTTAACTTTAAACGGGAAGGCACCTTCAAAATAAGAGCTTTTACAGCAATACCTCCGTTAACGAATACTATAGGCGGCGCTAGGACAAAGACTGAGACAAATGTAACATGTGTGATATATTGGGCTATATAAATAAACATTGATTGATTGATAAAACAAGAATACAGTTTAAAAGGGGAGCGATTTGTAAAATATCCATAAAAAAAAGTAAATCTGTTTACACTTCTGTTTCATATGGGTGTTGAGAGATGTATCCATAGATCTCTTAATTTTGCTCTCAAAGTGCACCAGATTGATGCTTTGAACTTCAACATGGGAGCATGCACTTTACCCCTGCCTACACCTATGCCGTGAGCTGATTATCGAGCCTTCATTGAAACTGATATATTGTGTATGTGCTTGTGCGTGTGGGGAGTGTTGCAGTAGAACATTACACTGTAGCGACCGGTACCTTAATGGGAAACCCTAAATGTTTGAGCACCTGTTAGAAATTAAAATCAATATTCAATGACGTAATTTAGGTTAAACGCACAGTAAGCTTTGTCGTAGCAGCTGATACCCCCTCTGTCACAGTATGCAAAACCTCACCCCCTAAAAAAGCGTCTGTTGATCACACATACATTTAAGATTCACTCTCAGAGAGATGACCTAATCAGAGAAACTAAGACAATGAGAAAGAGGAGGGAAGTTCCCTCCCTACGTCACCGCCCACCATTGATGAGGAGGGGTCACCACTGAGAGGGCGTTCACACCAAGTACTTTTCCCACAGTAGTTCATGAGAACTTTAGTTCATGAGAGCTCTTTAGTTCTGATGAACTAAAGCAGATCGCGTTCACACCAAAATGAGTTCCTGGGGGTGGATTAGGCAAATGAGCCGCTGACGTCACTTCTTCTTCTTCTGCTTTGGGTTTACTGGCAGGCCGCAAACAACTTCACGGCGAGTACAGTAGGTGGCGGTATGCACCTTAAAGTTGCAATTCGCCAAAAAACCGAGAGAAGAAGAAGAAAAAAAACTTCCGCTTCCGCTGTATGCTTCTGTTTACCTTCCGACCTCAGGCACGGTATGGAGTTGACGTTTTGGTGCTCGTGTTATACAGCTTCGTAACTGAGTTATTTAAGCCAATAACTCAGCCACAAATACAAATACAGATCGACCATTCAAATGCAATAGAAATGCTGAGTCGGAGGCGAAGGCGGTTAAGAAGCCTTAACAAAAGAATTGGACGACGAAAGCACACGCTATGGACATGTTTAGCTGTAGGACAGCTGAGCATGATGACCGTTATCACGCCCAAAGAACAGCAATGGTACGTTCATTAAATCACATTAATACTATCTAATGTAGGATTTATGGAGTTATGTAGGGCTAATTTGTGTCTTTGTATGTGTTCCAGATATGCGAATACTACGGAACTCTGGGTGAACAATAGAACGTCGGCCTGGTGGGAGGTGGTGCCAACATGTGCAGTGGATCAAAGATTTCCGAATGTCCAAGGGCTCTTTTCAACTCCTCTGTATTCGCCTGGAAGCAACGTTGGGGAGAGGCATCTGAACAGCATGGAAATTGTAAATTGACAATAAAGCGGATCTTTTGTACAGTGCATTTGGTTCTCTCTTTTATTTACCAGTCAACAGACACAATTACAATAGTGCAGACACACCTTAGTGCAAAGATTACATGTCAGTATCAAAACAGTACTCATACTGTATATTTGTATATTAATGAGTATATTATTATGTTAAATGTGTGTTAAAGACAATGGGATGAGGTTGAAAGCTCTTTAAAAAACTTTTGTATACATACATGTTAAGCATACACACCTGAAGAACTACATTACACACACACAGGTTAGTCTGTGTACCGCTGCACTGCTGCTGGTTTAAACAAAGACAGTCATGATGCTAGTGCTGTGCATGTAGGTTCTCTTTTATTTATCAGCAGCAGATCAATACGTGTCAGTAGTATCAAAACAATATAATAACAGTGGCAATATATATATATATATAATAACAATAGGTTGGCTCAGCAGCAGACACACCTTAGTGCAAAGTTAGGTGTCAGTATTAATAACAGTGGCATATATATATAATCACAATAATACAAAATTAACTGTCCCAGGTGTAGGCAATTTGGGGTGAAGTGTCTTGCCCAGGGACACATCGACATCCTGACTGCAGTGGGGTTTGAACCTGTGCTCCCCTGATCCGAACACCAACGCACCAGACCACTGCACCAGACCACTGCACCACACGCCTCCCAACAAGTCATTGTACAGTTTATCAACGACAAGTTTTTCTTAATTTTTGTATTGAAGGCCTGTTGGATTTAATCAGCTCGCTTAGCACTGCCAGAAGCCCAGCCTGAAAGGTATTTTGTTGCTCCACCTCGATTCCTGGGCCTTGTGTGAATGCAGCAGCCGTTCGTCGTGCATCTCCTTGGCACGCAGGTCCTCATTCTCCTTGCTGACCATGGCACGGCGGTCCATCGCCATGATGGTGTCAAGGAAGCTGTCATCGCGTGCCCACTTTCCTAAGGTGAAATATGCAAGATACAAGATCAGTTTAATCGCAACAATGACACAACATTGTCCAAATACCGGAAGGGGAGCAGCCCATAACAGAGAGCCCCCCACGTCAGAGTCATCACTGTGGGCGATCTCCACCTCTGAGTCTGTGTCTGCAGGCACACAACAGGAGGAACACCTTTGATTTGACTATTAACATTTTAAATGGTGAAGGCACTAGCAATTGGGGGATGGAGGGCTCTCAGGACATGATAGGGAGGCGTGTGGCGCAGTGGCTAAGTGCATTGGTGTTCGGATCAGGGGAGCACAGGTTCAAACCCCACTGCAGTCAGCATGTCGTTGTGTCCCCGAGACACTTCACCCCAAAGTGCTCCTGTGGGGATTGCCCACAGTATTGAGTAGGTAATCTTTGGATAAAAGCGTCTAACAAGTGACATGTCATGATTCAAAAAGCTTTTGGCGGCCATATTGAATAACAAACCAATGTGGTTTACTTGTTATCCACAGTTTAGCTGCTAAATGTTACCTTTACAAAGCTACGCTGAAAACACAGCAAAGTTTATATAACGGTATTAGGTTAGTTGAACCTAATATTTTTATAGTTAAACTCAACACTTTTCTTTGTGCTCCACATATCTAAATGTATAAAGTGTGTTTTCACCTCCGTTCCCTCCTGTTTGCTGCAGTATGGCAGCAGCGGTCAGGATGGGATCCTCTGTGATCAGATAGTAGTCCTGATGGTGTCCGCTGACCGGGCACAGGGTGTGGAGCTGCCTACTCTCAGCGGGGGGAACTGAACGTGGAAACTGTGTTTCTCTGAGGGATCCTCCATGTAGTCTGAGAAGCCTTCTGAGGAAACAAGGTCAAACTATTTAGGATAATACTATGACAAGGAACAATGTTTAGGCAGTAAATAGAATTTCAATTACATTTCTACTTAAATGTGCAAAAATATTAGAACATCAGTCTTTGTGGCATGCAGGTAATCAACTGTTTAAGCTTTTACCATTAACATGTAGAATGAATGTTGCTAATTACTTGAAATTATAGCAACTACAATCTATTGTTTACCTCTATGCATTCAGTGTAGCCACAGAGGTAGCATTATGTCCAGCTAGCATGCTAATTGCTAACGTTATATTATCGTTTTATCCCGGAGGGGAAAACTAGTTTCTAATCCTGAGAGAAACACCTCGCCTGAAACACACGATTAGTGCCTTGAGTTAGTGAAGCAAATTACAGAACATTGCACACTTATTCACAAGTCAAAACGTGTTCATAGCGGGCACGGCTGAGAATAGCTAGCTAGCTAGATGTTGTTAGCCAGCTTGGACCTAACGTTAGCAAGTTCTAGCATGGCTAGCTCGATCTACTGAGCAAATAAAAGTACATCTAAGACCAGTATTGTGCAGATTAAAACAGTGCAGTGCATGTATTT